ATTGAGTTCCTGGGCACCCCATGGTCCGGCCAGCGCAGGTACTGCAGCTGCTCCACCGTAATCTGCACCGCGGACTGCGCCTGGGCCGGAGGAGACATGGGCATTAGACTGACGGGGCCGGCAGGTTCCTTTTTATATGTCCCATGAGGCATTGCAAGACTCTGCCAGCCACAGGTTTCATTTTTATGATTGTACCTGTCCAGGGAATTCCTGATTCTGTTCAGCCGGTCTTGCCAGTCCCACAAGCTGCAACCTTGTCACTCTTTTGTCCTTTAGCACAGAAGAGCGCCCCAGTCACTGCATAGAGGTGCTATAAACCCTTTCACCTCCAAAAATGTTATTTCACCTTTTTTATTGTTAAAAATGCACATTTTAGGCCTGAAGATTATTTAGGAGAATAAAACGGTGGCAGCTGCCATTATTTTTGTCACCCAGTATTAGCACAAATGTTTATCACACCCATTTGTTTTTGTTTTTTTTGTAAAAGATAAAACTTTAATTCATTTTATTGCACAAAAGCACAATTTTTGTAAAATATAAAACTCGAGGTTCTGACAAGTAAAAAGACACCAAACATGACAACCCTGAAATTGCACGCGCCCCTGAAACAGCTACGAATCCAGGTGAGGCAGTGCAAACAGTCTGCTGTGGCAACTGGAAGTCTATTTAAAGGGTGTAACCAGGGATGGATTTCCCATAGGGCCAACCGAGGCCCAGCCTCTGGGCGGCAGGGAGCAGAGGGGCGGCAGGGATTCCTATCACCCGACACCCAGGACATGCCGTTCCAGGGGCCGGGTAGGTAGTTGTTTTGTACATTTAGCCCTGCCTTGGGCAAGCAGAGCTAAATGTACTGTGCAACCTGCTCGTCCGTCCTCCCCCACACCCCGCCCAGCCGCCACGCAGGCTCCCTCTCTCCCCGCCAGCTGGAGATCCTCAGGATGGAGAGCAGGGAGCAGAGCGGAGAACGTCCGTTCAGTGAGAGGGGAGAGCGGCACTCGCAGCCTTCCACTCCCAGCTGTCACAGGAGAGCCAGTACAGTGCTGCGCTAGAACTCCTGTATTGGAGGTGACAGGTTCAGTAAAGAGAACCTGTCGCCTCCAAATGCTATCACACAGGGGATTGTTCGCTCCTGCGTGATAGCAATAAAGTTAAGTGAAAAAAAATTAAATGAAAAATTGATAACAAATTATGAAATAAATAAAAATTAAGAAAAAATTAAAAATAAGAAGGTGATAAAAAAGTAAAAAAGATTTAAAAAAATGATAAAAAGTAAAAAAATAAGATTGAAACATTCTAAAAAATAGAAACTTAAAAGATAATAAGATAAATAAAGAAAATGTAAAAACAACGTTAAAAATGTTTTAAAATATCATAAAAAAGTAAAAAAATAATAAGATAAAAAAATTCTAAAAAATAGAAAAAGTAAAAAATAATAAGATATAAAAAAATATATAAATATTGTATTCTGGTAACTTTATCGATAATATGCAATATATGAATTCCTTCTTTTTATTTCTCATGGCTGTGTTTATATTTTCTACATTTACCTGCAGGCCGAGCTGTCCAGCAGCAGTGACAGTTGTGGGGTCATGGGGACAAACCGCATGATGTCAACGTTCAGATTTTAGTCATAGGGTGTAAACCTTTTTTTATTTATTTTTAGAGAATTAAATGAAAACCCGACTCCAGCGAAGACCTCGTAATCTGTTACAGAAGAACTCCCAGCAAATAAAAGAAATGTACCCCTGCACTGGGGCAAACCCCACCCTGGAAGGGCTAAGTAATTGCTTTGTGTAGTGGGTTCAGTGGCGTAACAATCACAGGCGGCCGCTATGGGGCCCGGGAGCACAGTGGGGCCCGGCCAGATGCCGTGCGGGGCCGCCTGGGTCGCTATGGGATCCCCTGCTGGCGGCTTTCACTGGCGGCTGAAGACGAACACGCCGCTGTGCAGATCACTGACAGTAATCTGTGCCGCAGCGCGTTCCTCTCCACAGAGTGAATGAGAGCCAGCAGCGGCGGTGGAGGAGTCAGGGCCCGTGGTCGGCAGCAGGGGAGGAGGCGGGGCCCGGTGACGAAGAAAGAGGCGGGCTCGACGACGGAGGAGGAGGCGGGGCCCATCAGCGACCGTGGACGAAGAGGAGGCGGACAGGTAAGGAGTGCGACCAGCCCACCTGAGGGTGACCCTGCCGAGCCCACCATAGAGAGTCTATGGTGGGCTCGGCAGGGTCACCCTCAGGTGGGATCTCAAGTGGGCTCTGCAAGGAGTATAACTAGAAATCACGGGGCCCCATACAACATTTTGCTATGGGGCCCTGTCATTTCTAGTTACGCCCCTGAGTGGGCTCCAAGAAAGCAGATATACTCTTCTGATCCTCAGGTCCACAGTGGTCATCACTCACCTCTGTCCCCCTCTGCTCTGGTATGTCCTGGACTTGCATAAGATATGATGACACCAGCTCTCCGGGGACCACCAGAGCCCAGGGGAGAAGGGGCTGCAGGGACCGGAGGGACTGAGGATCAGGTGATGATATCTGCTTCATTTGAGCCTCCAGACAAAACAAGCACTTAACCCTTGCATTGCTGAGGGGGGTGGGGTAGACCCACTGCAAGGGTAAGTTTTTTCTTTGCGTGGAATTTTCTTCTTGAACTCTTGCTGTAACAGATTGAAACGTTGTAGCTGGAGTCGGGTTTTAATTTGTTACTTAAAATCCATTTAAAACGTCTCTATCATGACTGACCCGCCCACAGGAGGGGCAACACTGCAGTGTGATTTCAATGCACAGTGCACAGCGTTGTCACTCCTGTACAGGAAGTGCAGAACTAACGGATCTTCCGGCAGAATGAAACTATGTAACAAAAACTGATTTATTAATACCAGTGACAGGCGGGATCAAGAGGGGCGAGGGGAACATAAGAGACTGTCCTGCATCCAGCCGAGGCCGAGCATGTGGGGCAGGGGCGTAACTAGAAATCACAGGGCCCCATAGCAACATTTTGTATGGGGGCCTGTAATTTCTAGTTACCCCCCTTGCAGAACCCACCTGAGATCCCACACAGCTCTCCTGAGAGTGACCCTGCAGAGCCCGCCATAGACTCTATGGTGGGCTCTGCAGGGTCTCAGATGGGCTGGTCACACCCCTGCACACCTCTTACCTGTCAGCCCTGATCTGTTGTCTGCCTCCTCCTCCTGCACAGGGCCCCGCCTCCTCTTCCTTCTCCGGGCCCTGTCTCCTCTTCCTTCTCCGGGCCCCGCATCCTCCTCCGCTGCCAACGCCAGGCCCAGCATCCTCCGCCGCAGCTGCTGGCTGTCACTGACACAGCCGCGGCTGTGAGGAGGAACGTGCCGCTGCAAAGATCACCGACAGGTTGTCAGTGATCTAACAGCGACACGTTCCTCCTCACACCCGCCAGTGACAGCCAGCAGCCTGACATGCCATAGCGACCCAGGCGGCCCGCACGGCATCAGGGGGATGTCCTGGCTGGGCCCCCCTGTGCCCTGGGCACCTGGGTCGCTATGGCTATTGATACGCCACTGATGTGGGGTGTTAAAGGGGGACTCCTGTACCTGTACAGTGAGATGCCGAACAGTCCTCCAGCACTGGACAGACGTGACGCATGGACGAGAAGACGAAGGAAAAGAATACAACATTCCTCCAGTTTGCTGCGTTTAGATCTTTACCTTCTTCAGGCTGAAGCTGCGGATGGTGATGGCCCCGGTCTGGATGATGTTCTGGACGGAGACTGTGATGTCACCATAGGTCTGACTCTGCTCTGGCCAATAGCGCTCACATTTCACCTGAGGGGAATCAACGATTGAAACCGAGATGAGCCGGGCAATGTAAAAGACACAAAGTAACGCAGCTCTGTCCTCATTAAATGTACATTATAGATACAAGCCCCTGAATCTGACCCGGTATCAACCTGTTGCAGTCTCTGTACAGCAGAGCTCAGACCAGGGGAGGGAGAAGCAGCACAAGGAGTCAGTCAGTTAATGTGTTGACAAGGTGCCATTCTGATTGGAGGTGAGAAGAAAGTGAAAGAGAGATGAGCTTATCACTGTACGTCAAAGGGCTGGAGGCGTGTCCATGACAGCCTGGGCTCAGAGGAAGTGGGTTGTATGATGCTGGCCTTCATTCAACCCAGGAGACTGAGAACATCTAGTGGCGGTAAAGAAGTACTGCAAGGAGACAGATCTAGATTGAACGTGAGTATGAAGCAAATGCCATTAATATTTTTGACTGTAATTCTGCTTTAAATACTGTGCCAGTTTTGACAAAATATTTTCTTTTAGTTTTGGACAGAGTGGGGGAGGGGTTTTTTTTTTTAGCCATCTGTGCCCCAATCGAGAGACCTCCCTTCACTTCCTGTCCAACAGACACAACAGGAAGTGAGATGAAACCTTTACAAAGTGAGGCAGATCCCTGGTGCTCAGCAGGGTCAACAGAACTGGGGTCCCCCACTGGAAGATTTCCCATCTATTCCTATGATCTACGTCAGCTTTGTGAGATGGGAAAGAATATGGCTTCCAGTACCAAACACCCAACCACACCAGCAGCCATCAATGAAGGGACCTGTACAGGGAGAAATAAAGGGACGGCTATTGCTGACATGCTTCATTCTAGTTGTCTGTCTGTCTCTGGCTTCAGTACCATTTCGTTGACTGACCAGGAACAAGACCAGGCCAGGGAAGTCCAAGTGAAATCATAACTCCTCATCTGCCATCTTGCTCTGGGTCAATGCCCAAGAAACTACTGATGGTGATGGATCAGCACGGCAGGACAGGTCAGGAATGGCAATGTTCATATTTCTCTCAGTACGGGACCACGCTGTTTCTTTATTTTTATTACTTTTTATTTTTTTATTCAATTATTTCTTCTTATTTTTTTTTATTTAATTATTTTTTAATCAATTTAATTTTTTGTAGATTTTTTATTTATCTTTTTACTTTTACTTTTTTATAGTTTGTATCTTATTATTGTTTATTTTTTATAATTATTTTCCTTTTTTTTACTTTTTAGTCACCTTTTTATTTAATATTATTTTTT